GTCTGTAAACCATTGCGATCGAGATAATTGGGTTTCAGAGACTCACTGTTCTTCCAATATAATAATTATCTAGTTACTTAATTATAAAAATTAATAAAATAAAATATATATACATTTATTCATTTAAGTAACTGGAAAATTATTATAATCGACTTAGAGTGAGTCTCTGAAACCCAATTATCTCGATCGCAATGGTTTACAGACCCCTGGAAGACCCCTGCAAAGACCCCTGACTAACAAGGTAAGGCATACAGAAAAGCTACATGCTTTGGATAAAGTTGAAAGTGTCTTCAGTTTCTGTGTTTACACTATGGTCAATGCTAAATGCAAACTGCAGGCGTCTTCGGCCAGCCTATGCTGATTTGTTGCAATCTCGTAAAATCTTACGTAAATTAAATTAAATCTATGCATTGTAATTATGAAGTATTTTATTAAATGTCAGTGTGTTCACAGGGGCTGTAGATGTTTTTAATTCTATTTTAAAATATATTTAAAAAATCGGAATAAACAAGTAAAAAGATTATTACAGTCTGGCAATGCCTTTAGACGATTAGATATTCTACACCATTTTTCCTAATACTGTTGTTCAGTTAGTTTGTTAATAATACACCCAGAAAAAAAGAAGCCGCATATTGGAGGATGCCCAAGCCATCATAAGGCGTGATCTAAATTTAACAAAATTAATTTTCGTTCCAATAAATTTACTATTTTTTAGTTCTTGTCACAGAAAATTTGACATTAGACTTTTTCTCTATATATAGGCTAGCCCTTCAAGTAATCCCCCTACATTTTAAGGTCTAAAAAAGAGATTTATGTAATCTATTGTTCTTACCAAATTTTTTTCTTGTTAAATTTCTACTGTGCACCAATGTTCATCATAAAGTTAATCAAAAATTAAAGCTTTTGCTGAAGGGTTTACACTACATGGAGTGCGATCCAACAAAAAGACGCATGTTAGATCCACATAGTGCTTTTAAAACATTGGCAATTAGGTTACTTTGCCATATAAATTCTTACATGCGATGGAATCCAAAAAAAAAGGTCTATGTATTCGAAATTCGGAAAGGTTCATATCTTTGTCAACTTACTAATATGAACCAATGGCCATCGTGGAATATTAAAAATTATACCTTTTTACCATGTAGAAGTGCAGTTTCGATTAGGTGAGAAGGAGTTTAAAAAATTCTCCCAGCCGTATCAAAATTTTTTTTATCAATTGTGAATGCCGGAGTACTATATCGAGTTTTGTGAAAAAATTTTTGAAAATTTCCATTGTTTTTCGAAATAAGGCATTATTTGGCGAGTAGTCCCAAAAATGGATTGATGCGTACTATTTTCAATTTCATTCGTCGATATCAGACGGACTCACAACCTTAGCTCGGTTCAGAATCATCGGTGTAATAGATCGATTCTAGCTTTAACGTACACCTGTACAAACAATATAATATATATATATATATATATATACATATATACAGAATTTTGTATAATTACAGATAAAATTAAAAGAAATGACGGCTTATTTCTGACGTGCTTCTTAATGAAACGGAGGCACAAGCTTTACGTGAAGCAATGTCAACTTTCGCTTCGATCAAAGAAGATAGTCCTTCGAATGTTATAAAAGAAAAGGACCTTTTCTTTCACTCCCGCTTAACTTGGCAGGGTTGCAAAATATCGCAGTCGGAAAAAGTTGCAAAAACTAGGCAGGTAGCGAGATAAAGAGCTAAATACAAAGCATGCACATGCATGGCATAAAAGCAAATGTTAAAATAGAAAATGGTTGCTTTTTACATATTGTTGAATACATAGATTGTTGTATGCATTGATAGTCAATTTTTATGTTTGTTGCATGCATTTTCATAACAGAATCTGAACAATAATCATTTAATTTCTTTCTAAGATAAAGGCATAATGGTAGAGGTGAAAGCAATGGCTCTGGTTTCAAACTTCTGCATCCGATATATGCTGGCGTATATAGACTTTTGAATAAGACAGAGTTGATAAGAAGTTTTAAAGTGTGCTACGAGCTTTAAATTAGAAGAAATAAACTAATACTCAGTTTAATGTTAAAAAGGCATCGAAGTGGAAGCCATTCCGACTGTAACAGTAATTTACAAAAAGATTTTTAACTAAATATTAATTCTTTTATATATGTCAATTCGGATTCTTAGGATTCTTCAAAGAATTTTTTCATATGCATTCATTCATTCATTTCATGTATTCATATGATCACTTAGCGGATATGTCCAAAAACGATATAAGTATTAACAATGTACCTAATCCAATCTAGGTTATAACCAAATGGATTCTGTTTTGGAAACATTTTTAAGAAACATATATTTATAAAATCGTCTTAAGGCATAAAAGTGAAATTGGTAAACGATATATATTGACATATGGATTTTACGCCTACAAGTGTGCAGAGCTTAGTGTAAACTATGGTATATTAGTTTCTCTCTCAGTTATTAAATCAAAGTCAATATGATTAACTCTTTTCGAGATTTCTCGCTCTCATTTAATTTCTCCTTTTCCTAAATGCCGGAGAGTAACACTTAAGTTAACAAACAGTGGTAAAATATATGAAAGAAATTGACGTACACTGGGGCAAAGAAGTGATTAATACTTTTTTAGATAATATAACAAGATTTGAGAAAACATTTTGGAAGAAAGTCGGCTCACCTCTAGGAAATCTGCTATGAAAATATTAACATTATATTGAGCTAATGCTTGGAAATAGTTTTAAAATGCAAACAATGATAAATAAAGACCTTGTTAGGCTTTTATACGAAAAGTCGCATTTTAAGGCCAATCCAGTCACACATTTATTGCAAATCGGTGTCACAAGACCTGATTACAAATAATGAAAATCCAGAAAAAGATCAATGGAGTAATCTGTTAGCTGATGAGAAAATCTTATATTACACTATTAACTTATTACTAAATTTGATGCACACAAAAATTTGCTACGAATACACGCGTATAAACTAATAAAGGAAAATATCAGCTGCTATCTTGTGAGCGCGCGGTAATGGCATTCAATTGGAATTCCCATCAAATCTGTATTAATCAAGACGAAGCCGATATTCTTCTTGCTTAACTCGTTATTTACCGGTAAATAGGCTGAACAATTCAAAGTGTAGTATTAATCATAAATGAACATATGTCGCGTTTTGGGGAAAAAACTATAAAATTTCCCTGATGTTTGTAAAGTTGCCAAGGAAAAGTTAAATGTCGTTATTAGGTAAAATTGCGCAGAGTTTAATTTACGTTTAATAAACGTTTTGCTCGTTAGTGTGTTTTTAGCAAAACATCACAAAATAGTTGAAGAAAAGATATTCTCTGCATAGCGATAGACGGTCAGAAGCAACATTACCTTCCAGTTATCTATCGACATTTTCAATTTTGCACACAATTTTGCTGTTTATTCAGTTCTTCGTGGTTTTTCATATGTTGCAGAACGTAAAACGCTAAACGGCTGTCGATTTTTTCAGCATTTTGGTGAATAAATAAATACACACATAAAAAGTTCACCAAGTATAAATGAAAAATATTCACTCCAAAGAATAAATTCGAAAAATTATTAAAATTAAAAAAAAAAAAAAAAAATTCTTATTTATTTAAAAGAAAGTTTTGAACAAAAAAAAAAAAAAAATCATATAAGAAATAAAACTCAAAAAATTAATCGATTTTCAAGCCAAGTCCGTAAAAATATATTTACAGTATATACTGTATGTACGTAAGTGTGTAAAAAGTAGTAGAAGAAAAAAAAAAAAAGAAGAAAGGAAACAAATCCGCACCTAGAAAAGTTACAGTAAATCAATAACAATAAAAAATATTAATAATAATTAAAGTTTATCTATAAAAATATATGTATATATATATATATGTATATATATATATATATATATATATGTTTATATATATCATCGTACACAGTAAAGTTTAAAGATTCTTTCACAAATTTAAGTTAAAGAGCCACAAGTGGAACAAAGTTTTCAAGGTTCTCACTCTCAGAGTTCTGGAGATTTTTCTCCAGACATCCAAAACGGTTCGAAAATCTTTTAACCGTTATGCTGTTTGCCATTGTCCATGAGTGCGTTTAAGCGTTTTCTAAATTGATAGAAAGCCGGGACTAAATTCTTCACGTGGTATTCTAACTGTTTCTATGAAAGTGTGTGTTTATCTTTTGCTGTTGTGCCTGTAGGCGTATTCGAAGACACAATTTGTTTGTGTGAGTGGCTGTAACAAACAACAATTGCAAAAACAACAGCAATAACAAAACTATATAAATTTCGTGTTATAATGTTTAATAAGTTTCATACCATTGATTGGATACTAAAACCAGTTCAATGTCAAGATGTAAGTAACAAAAGATCCTTCTCGCATCATTCCATTCATATCTGACGAAAAAAGTAATAAAAACTTTTTCGTAGGCTATTTTAGTTTTAATACCCGAAACCACTGGAAAGTTGGTGGCATATTCGCTTTGTCAAAACGCTTCACTATTCATATTAAATTTTTGAAACGATCTAAGCATAAGCGTCTGCCCATTTGACTGTCGGTCGGTAAGGTCTTTGGTGAATGTGAAGTGAAGACATTGGCTTCAAATTTGCCAAAAATATTAAAAAAAATCTTTCATACTCATAGGCCAATGTAAACTGAGAATATATTGAAGAGAGAATTTTTTTCTTATCACTTAGAACGTGCAACAAATACAACGATAAAAATTTGGCACGTGCATTCCTTAGATGATTCTACAGGGCGATGGGTGTAAAAGATTCTGTCGTCGTTGAATATAATTCTTCTTCTTGCTGCTTTATTTTATAAATTTATTCATTATAATCTATATAATATATAGTGTAGTATCATTACACCCTATATCACTTGTCTGTTTTTTGTTTTTCTTTCTTTGTATCCATCAAACGGTACACAACTAAGTGATGTTACTATTAAAAGAAAGATTAATCTCTCAAATATTGTGCTGAGGAAAAAGCAACGCACTAAAGTAAAGCATAATGAATGGAATGCCTAGCCGAATATCATTTACTCTAAACAAACTAAAAGCAAAAGCCTTTCTATTTCCCATTGAGGATCGATCTTAATTTTTATTAACGAAAATATAATTAACCGTAAAAGGCTTGACATGAATACGCAAATAAAATAGACCGAGAAAGAGAGATAAATGCAGAGACAAAGGCAGCAAGAAAGAGAGAGAGAGAGAGAAAGGCAGGGAAAGAGTGGTAAGAGAAAGATATAGATAGAGAGATTAGAAGAAGAGGAGAATATATATAAATTTCAAAAGTTCGATATTCTCGAGCATGTCGCAGATATCCAGTAAATGCAAACAGCCTAGAAGTTACTCAAATCGTGTTAGCCTCTTAAATATCCGACACTTGATAAAATCGACTAAACCTTTGCGTGATCTGGAAATTTTCTCCCTTAGTTTAGCAGCAGCTTAATATATGATTTGCTACAGTGAATCTGTATCACGGCGTCCGTGAAATAATTTTCGTCAAATGCCTTTACAACCGCACATCAAATCCCATGATGTGGACTATGATGCTGATAATTATGGGCGCAAATTTTTGCTAACCATAATTGTTAAGCACTGAAAAGCATCTTTAATGCAATTATGACAAGGGTAACGTGTAGTGAAAAATTAGAAAAGAAAAACTGTCGTTATATTAAAAGTACATCGAATCAAAGATTTAATTAAAAAGTTATTATGCTATTAACAAACCGTAAATATTGCCATAATAATTACAAATTGTCTCAAATTAATTGAGAAAAAAAAAAAGCCTTATAAACAAACGAACCATAGATGAGCGCAATTGAGGAAAGCATAGAGCAAAAATTGTGTAACAACAAATGGCAAAACTATTTGCAAAAGAATGTTTCGTCCATGACTTTAGTTAAAGTGTCACTATTTTAGAAGCCGCATGCTCTAAGACATACAACGTGTAGCAATGTCATGGCGAATGTTTTTATGGCGTTGTCAAACCAACTTACTAGAAATGACTAAAGCAATAAATGTGGAAAATAAAAGGCAGAAGCGTGCAAAACACCACGACATTCAAACAGACGTAGCCAAGTCAAGGTTATTGAGAAATAATGTTTAAAATATCCAAACAAAACTTGTTTATTACAAAAAAAAAAAAAAAAAAAAAAAAAAAAGAAATTAAAGAAACGTGAGTGCGCCAGCAAGACCAAATGTATGAAGCTTACTTTTGCTATTTTTATACCCTACACCATTTGTGGTAAGGGTGAATTAATTATTTCTACAACAGTTTGAGATAGTAGTACACTAATCGATTTAGAATGATTATCAGTATCGATTTAAGTATCGATTGTACTGTTGTGTTCACCCTTATAGATCACTATTTTCGAGTAATTTTAGTAATATCTGCTCAATTGACATTCAGGCTCGGGAGATGAAAGTTGGAAAAAATGAATTCTATCGATTTATTCCTATCAAACATAACACACAAAGATACGCTTATTTTTCTTATACCTCCCGATATAGCGATTCTCACGAAATCCAAGTTTTTCTAGGGCGATAAAATACACTTTTTGATGTTTTACAACGAAAAGTGATGAAGGTTTTGCATTAGGCGATGCGTTGTGGAGAGTCGACCTTTGCCAAGTATAACACTGTAACTTTGTTTTTTCGAAATATTGTTTTCAAAAAAAGTGTTGGGGAAATTTTTATCACAACTTATTATGTTAGCGTAGGCATACGTTTGCTTTATTCTAATCTGATTTAGTTTATATACATATATACTAAGCTGGCGAACATGAAGTTGGCATAACAGTCCACACCTGTGTTGCACGCCCCTTATTTCTTTTACGTTCATTTATCTTTCAAATATGATAAATAATTTTTGTACGCAAAAATTTTTTATCGCATTTTTGTGCATTAATACATTTAGTTGAATGGCAAAGACTTCATTTGGGGAGCACACAATGCCTTAATACTCACTTACACGAGGTTTTTTTTTTTTTTTGATACGTTACTACTATTTATGGCCATTGTATTTAAGCCCTTTTAAACATACATGAAAATCCTTTTAAACGCTTGAAAAAATACAATTAATTAATATTACTCATACGCCACACTCAATGTCCAGAAAAAGAATCTTTTAAAATTCAAATGCTTTAAGATTAAAAAACGGGATGAAAATAAGATAATCAAACTTTAAATTAATATGATCATCAATAAAAAGGAAGTTCTTCAGTGAAACGTAAAAAAAGTAAGATGCAAAGTTATGCGGGCGAGAAACGCTCATGAAAATTGTGGGATTACTTTAAAACCTTAGAAGGTAACAAAATTATCAACAATACCGGGTTCAGGATCTAACTTGAAAAAGTTTTCCGTTCATTATGCTATGGAAAGGAGTTTATGAAAAAGGAGTTTAATAAAAGGAGGATTTAACGAAAACGGAAATCAGTTGCCTGCATTGTAATTAATTTAAATGAATTACTCTAAAGAAAAAACATTTCATTTTCGAAAGTTCTCGAAACACTTTTACTCTGTACGAATTCATTCTGAGGTAAATTGACTCAATAGAAACCCATCTGTCATGTTAAAGGAACGGATTCGTAAATATTCTATTACATTGCAAATTGCGTAGATTTTAACCATGCCCAAGGATAAGACGAGTAGATTTCCCCCTTATATCATATGTGAATACTCGGTCATCTACAGAATCTGTTTTGGTGAACAAGTCATAGCGCAATATGGTGCTCTAAACCGAACAAGGTGACTGGAGTCGTAAGAATCCTAAAGCTCGGGACTTTGGGACATGGTCGACCACAACAGATCATTCCGGTTATGGTAAGATTTGTCCATATAACAAAACAATACAAAGTCAAAGGATTGCTCTTCAGTACAATCGTGCACGATGGGTTCTTATTTTCCTTTCCATCAATCGGAGCATCCATCTTAGTTCTCTTTTTCAATTTATTTACAAAACGTTCCTCTTTAACTTAGTAATTTCGATCAATACAACAACATCTAAATGCTCTCATAAACTCGGGTTTTTGAAGTTTGCTTCTACGCGTTACGAAGATATTGTGAATAAAAATTAAAATATGATATGCTATAATATCGTGCAAGCGCGGGAAATTTTTCCAACTTTTGTATAGATACTACAGTATCACCCATGCGGACGGATAGACGGAGATTGATTAAATTGATTTCGAATTTGATACTGATCAAGAATATCTATATATATATATATATATATATATACACTTTATGGGGTCTCTGAAGCTTTCTTCTCGCTCGGTCGTTCCAAAAATGAATATACCCAACAACTCTCGATGATGGGTATAACGAAATGAGAAATTCACAAGTTTTTGTTTTAGTTTCCAAATTCATTCGTTCTTAAGGCATGATTATCTTAAATAGTGAATAAAATGTACTCAGCAAATTTTTATTGTTTTCCTTTCTATTTTAATTGTTTCTTATAAAATTTGTTAAGCGGCTAAACAAAAGACAAACAAAAAGCAAAATGCAACTGAGCTGGGCAAGTACTTCCGCTTCCCCTTTTCTATTTTTATTGCTCTTGTTTGCTATTCTACTATCTGTTTTTACTTTTTGCTTCCATTTTCCTCTTTTCGCATATTTGACCGAAGGTAATTGCTCAGTTATGTACTCATTAGAGAGACAGTTATCAAATCAAACTCGGTAACGAATTAATTTTGTTAGCTAATCTAAGAATTAATCTTTTTGAGAAAGATTTGAAGTACTTTCAAGGAAAGCGGATAAAAATTAAATGAAATAGAGACAACCTAAGATATGCATACAGGTGTCACTTGTATAACACTGTACTGGATTTCAATATAAGACGTTACACATTGCCTTGATTTATCTTTTATATTCAAGTATAGCACAAAAGTTCTCATACGAATACAATGTACTTAGAGTAGACGTACTTTAGGGAAGCAGCATATATAAAGACAGCCCTTTCTTCGCCTATGAGGACTTTGTTTATTTTTCCTTTTCTTAAAGAACAAAGTGGAAAAACTTCCCTTTCAATTTCCGTAAATACTTCCGCGATTATTTTGTCTTTGTTTTTCATTCATGTGTGAATTGTTTTCGAAAACTCTTTATTTATTATCGCAGATCGTTTATTATCTGCCCTTGAAGGTCATTTTACTGAAAGGCATGAAGATAAATTCGAATTTAACTAGCAAAGGTACCTACGGTTACCCTTTTTACTGCTGACATTTTTATCGTTTGTCACTCACTACATCACTTGTGGTACAAGGGCTTATTAAGTTTGTGCACGCAGCACGTAGAAGGACACGCGGTACTTCTAAATCGATCTATAGCTCGCAAACTTTGAAACATTTTG